TAAAACATTCTCACAGAAGTTTAATTTACCTGTTACAATTTAAATCCCTTATAAAAGTGAAATTGAAAACATTGTTTTATAAATATTATTCAATTCAATAGTAAGCATATTCTCCAAGCAGAGATGCTTATATATATATATATATATATATATATATATATATATATATATACAAGAGACATGTTATATATATATATAGACTGTATAGCCAGTCGTCTATTGGCTTGTCTGAATGATGACTGCAGTTTTAATGTTGGACTGACTACAACTCTTCCTTCCCACCTAAATGTCCCACCGTGTTCATCTAGGACTGGTGTAGGCAACGTCGGCTCTGGAGAGCCGCTGCCCTGCAGAGTTTAGCTCCAAAAAATCTGCCTATAGCCTTAGTAGTCCTGAAGAAATTGATTTGGTGGTTCAGGTGTTGGAGCTTATTTGTAGGACAGTGTCTCTCCAGGACTTATATTGCCTACCCCATATCTAGAAAAAGTGGTCCCCCAACTGAGCCTGTTTTTTTTTTCTTTCTTTCTTTCTCCCCCCCCTCCATTTCTGTCACATGAGTGAGTTTGGGTTCCTTGACCTATAGTATTTGATTGAAGCAAAGTTGCTGACTTTGAAAAGAATAGGTCTAAATATTCATTCAGTGGGTCCAGCAGGATGTTTTTACATTGGCATTTGGCAAGGCAAGTTTTTTTATATAGCACATTTCATACCCAATGGTAATTCAAAGTGCTTTACATAGAAGAAATTAAAATAATCAAAACAAATAAGAATAATTAAAATAGTTTAGAATAAAAAATAAAATACAGTACAGTAAAAACAGGACGAACAGTGAATCTTGGCTGTGATGCGATCAGAATTTGTTCAGCTGATCGACGAAAACTTTTGATGATCTTGCCTATGAAAGGAAGATTTGAAATCGGTCTATAGTTGCTTAAGATGGTCTTATCCAGATTGCTCTTTTTCAGGAGAGGCTAGAGAACTGCAGTTTTCAGGGAGTTTGGAAAACTCCCAGAGAGAAGTGAGGCATTTACCACTTAGGAGATCTGCTGTTTAACACAATTTGAAAAAAAAGATGTGGGAAGTGCATCAAGGGCGCAGGTGGATGTTTTAGGGTGCTGTACGGTTTCTTGTTGTGGTCTGATCTGTCTGACCCCAGAGCAACTCAAGGATGTGCTGATCACCTTTTTGATATTATTGATTTTCTAAGAGAAGAAAGCAGCAAACTCACTGCACTTGCTGTCTTTTAGCATTTCACTGAATCTGGCTTGAGCGGTTTGTCAGTCTCTCTACAGTAGCATAAAGAATGTGTGCGTTGTTTGAGAAGAAAGTCTGTAGCTTTGCCTAGTTTAATATTAAAAGCATGGATGCTGTCTTTGTAAATGTTATAATGAGCTTCATGTTTTGTCTTCCGCCACATGTGCTCTGCTCTTCTGCATTGTCTTTTCATATTTTGCACAACTGTTGAGTTTCTCCAAGGTGCTTTTTGTCTAGCACTATTCTCCCTGACTTTCACAGGATCATCAATTACAATTAATTTTTGAGTTAAAAGAATCAATGAGAAAATCAAAAGAGTCGGCAGATATGCTTGGTTTTAAAGATATAGCCTTCATAAATGGCACACTAGTGTTCTCATTTAAGCATCTCTTCTTGACAGACACAGATCCAGCTTCAATGGCAGGACAGATCAATATATCAAAGAAAATAAAGAAATGATCAGACAGTGCTACATCCTTAATAACAATCGATCAGATTTTTAGATCCTTACTGATAAGTAAATCTAGAGTGTGTCCACGATTATGTGTTGGACCATGTGCATACTGAGTCAGATCAAAAGTTTTGGATCCAAAACAGTTTGGATTTATTTTGCCATATTTTTTTCTGCATTATCTATGTGAATTTTAAAGGGGTGGTAAAATTCCATTGTAACAAGATGTAAAATAAATCTCTAATGTCCCCAGAGTGTGTGTGTGAAGGTTTAGCACAAAATACCCCACAGATATTTTTATATAGCATGTTATAGTTGTCACTTTTTGAGGGTTTGCAAAAACGCACCGTTCTGTGCCTGGCCCTTTAAATGCAAATGAGCTGCTGCAAAGGGTGTGGTATCAAGAGCTCTTGTGTGTTAGCAGCTGCAATTTCCTCACGCAGACACTAAAATGACAGAAACTGTTCTCCCTTTAATGTTAAAACAGTCAGTCAAAGATAGAGAGACTCGAAAAGTGACATGGAGAATTCAACAGGACGTATATGAATGGTTAGTTGATGAATTTATGTTGCTGATGTGGAGTTAACTCAGAGCTGCCAACTTTTGAGTTTAGCTTGGCGTGAGAGTTATCGCGGGGGGGGGGGGGGGGGTGAAGTTGGGGTGCACATAGGCTATATTTGGACTGAAGCCGCCTTTAGTGCCTGTCTTTATACCAAAAACATCCCCCTCATGGAACAGCTACAGTGGCGTAGATCATCGAGCCTGTAGTTTGTGAAAGAGCATCTGATGTGCTCAGACCCAAGTTCGAATCCGCCTTTTGCCGAACATGAGATGTAAAATGTATAAACTAACATGAAGGTCTCTAGCGTTAAATATTTTGCCAATGAACTAAAAAACGAAACCATGATATGGCTTTTTGCCTTCATAAAACAGCACAAGACTTTAAGAATAGGCATTCTGTTTGTGCTGGGTGTTTTTAGAGAAACGTGTGCACTTTGCTCACGCGAACACGGAGCAGTTTTTCCTGTGAGTGAGACTGGAAAACCCGTAGTGGATGTATTCGGAGTGATAATAGAACGCTTAGAGTCCAGAGAGGAATTGGCTTTGACTCCAGTCCTGGTTTTGCGTCCACGCCGTTAGGAGCTCAACATCTGTCTCGCATGCATGATCGCTCTAGACTAGATTAGAGGATATTTTAACTAATTTGTGGTAAAACTAGTCGATCACGAGTGGCTCAACTGGTGGATTTATAGATAAACTTATCTTTCAGGTATTTTGCCGACTGGCTTGACACTTTAGCTTGAGAAATCGGGGGTGTGGCGTGAGAGCGTGAGAATTGACTCAATTGCGTGAGTCTCACGCTCAATGCGTGAGAGTCGGCAGCCCTGAGTTAACTATCTTCAATTTCATGACAATATTCTGTCATGTAATCTTCAAATCGCTCATATAGGAACTATTGTGAGATGCACACTTTCTATTCCATGTGAAAAGATGGATTTTAAAGTTTGAGACTCACAAACATACTCTTATATAACCACACTTCCTCTTCTCAACATGGACTGCGTGTTCCCGGGGGCAGGGTTTATGTACATTTTAGGGTTGGTGATGTCACTAACCCGGAAGGAATGTTGTGTAATCCCTACCAGCCGTTTGTTGTAGTCCTTTTCTTTAAAAGTAAATATCTTCCTTTGCTTTGAACTTTGAGCGTTGTAACTTTGACAATGTTGTTTATGTTCAAACACCAACATCACACACTAACTAAAGTTAGAAAAGTGAAATCATACTTTGCCACCCCTTAAAAATCTCCAGCAATGGCAAAACAATCAAACTCTGAGGAAATTAGAAATTATTGATAACAGTTCTGTAAAGTCCTCAGGAGAGTATTTTGGAGGCCTGTAAATAATAAGTAAAATATAGCACCTTTTAACCCTTTACGGTTGAGCATATTTTGAGTCACTATATTTAATTCACCTTTGGCTAAGCCACGCCCTAGAATGTAGATTGACCAATCACAGCGCAGTCAAGAACGAGCTCCCACAGTGTCCAATTTTTCACAGCGCTTCATTGACTTTCAACACAGGCATCTCACGTTATTGGTCTCGGCAGGCTATTACCGTCAAAGTTTTATCCAAAATATGGTTAAAAGTTGTGCCTCGGGCATTTGCAACACAGATGCGCGTTTCCCAGAGAGGTTGGAGGGGGGTGTCCGTTTTTTTCCGTTTGTGTCTGGGGAGAGGGGCTTTTGCTCTGGTGTTGTCGGAGGTTGTAATATGCTGTCCTGGTTTCCCTGGCTGTTTTCCAGAAAGTCACTCTTGGGAGCTGAATCTTGGAGCAGTTCTGATATGTTACAGTCTGTCTGTGGTGAGCTCTGTGGGCAGGGTTCTGCTGAGATATTGTCCATGAGTAGAAGTTGTTGTGGCTGCACAGTGTTATTGTTGTCCTTGTGTGATATGTCAACCGCATGTCCATTCAGGTCCTGAAGTGAAGTCCTGTGGTCATTCATACTGTGTCCAGGTGTGTGTGTGTGTGTGCCATTCAGGTTGAGTGTATTGGCACACACTGCAGAAGGATAATTGAGGGAGTAGTAGATATTGTCCTTTAGCACTCTCAAACCAAGTTTGTTTGGGTGGAGTCCATCCTGTTAAAACAGTTGCCTCTGACTCCAGAAAAGATTGAGGTTGTCAATAAAATATTGCAGTTTTTTTGCAGCCATGTGTTGAGCCCAAGCAACCGTGAAAACCTGGGAGGTGACATAAGATGACATGCATAAGATGAAAATCTTTTTTAGACTACTTGTTTTCCTGCCCTCTCAGATAACGTGCATGTGTCCAGATATAGATTGATAATCTGAATCCAGAGTTCCTGTTCCCCTGTTTTCACGACCAAATCTGTTTCTGTTTTAGTCCTGTGTTCCCTCTAAGAGGCAGTATAACTGTTGTTTCAGTGATGTGAATAAGCTCTGAAAAAGGTTCTTGGCATTGAAAAAGTAAAAGGTCAGTTTTATTCAAACAAAAAACAAATAAAAAAAAGAGCTGAGTCTGGATATATCTTCTATCTTTGTATATATTGCAATTAAACAGTCATTTTAATTTGTGTAATTTTATTTACCACTCATAATCGACTGAGATTGATTTGTACTTTCTTATTTATGGTTCCATATGTAAATATCACACATATTACATTTTTTGTGTTATTTAACAAAGTGAAGATGACTGTATGCAAAAATCTACGGTTTCACAATGATTAACTGAAGGCGACAAACCACTTAATGCTGGTTTCCTTTTCCTCTTGATCTTTAAAGGCCCCCAAACCATTCAAGGTGGAGTCAAAACACTCTGCTCCTCATGTTCATCTGAGATTATTTTTTAGTTACACTCAGACGTTTTTGTCTTTCTTACCAGTCACTGGTTTCTCAATTAATTTCCTCTTTCATAATGTTAGGTTTGAAGTATGCTCATGTTGTTCTCTTGTTTCTTATCACCCCCTCTGTAAATGGTAAGTTAAATTCCTTATAGGTTCTAAAATTGTCAGAACTAATGTTTATTTAAAGTTTTTAAATAGTGTACTCATAAGACTTGTTGGATTTTATTTTAGCAGTCTAAAGCAGTTCTATTAGTGTGTGTAATTTTTTATAAAATTTTCAATACATGTGATTCATCTATAAATGTTACTAACTAGCCATTTCACCTCAGCACATGGAGGTATTGTTTATATCCACAGAGGAAGAAATTCATCCATTGACATTTCCTGTGAATCAACCAGCAAGGAGGGAAAACCATTCGCCTTTTCACTGAAACGCAGGTTGCTGCAGTCTAGACGAGTCCTTTATCTTTCTGAAGGATTATTACCAACTATCAATAAATCTGAGGACAAGGATCGCATCACAGTACGTGATGAGTTGTACAACCACACAGTTCATCTGACAATCTCAAACCTGCAGGGTCGGGACATAGACGTATACCACTGTGAATTCTACTATGGCAGTCTTCCAGAAGATAAGAATATCCCTGGCAAGATGGAGTTCTTCATCTATGTTGAAGACTTTTGTAGGTGACCTTTATTTATATTACTTTAAATATGTGTTTACGCTATGTCCCGTCCACACAGTGGATAGCCGAATTAGGTTAATCTTGCATTTAATACCATCACCTTAACAAACAGAAATCATACAGATGCACTTCATATTCAACAGCAAATTCTCAACTCAGTGCATTATTTTCATGCAGTGTGTTGTGTTATTGTTAGATACAAATGTAGGATAATCAATTAATAAACCTTAACAGGAACAGATTGATTACTGTTATTTTTCAGTGCAGTAGGTTGTATTATCCAAATCTTTCAGTCAACGTGCTAGTCATGTTAAACTGGAATGAAACATTTTCAAATCTACAATTAGTTCTATGTTAGATTACTTGCAATTTACTACCCCCGTTTATGTATCAATGTAGGCTACTGAGAGTGAAACTAGACAATATGATGCAGTCAAGCAGTGAAAGTCTCAAATTACTCATAAGGTCAAGCAGAAACCACAAAATCATTTCTTTTATTTGCAGATGATTATTACAGAACCTAAGACTGAACATTCACATAAAATAAACTTGGGCTGACTACCTACCAAGTGCTTTTACTGAAAAAGAGACACATTTTGTGCCTAATTCTTTTGGCTCCTCCTAATATGTGTGTGTGTGTGTGTGTGTGATAAAAATGGCTACAATAATTCAATAATAGTTTAGTATGAACTACAGTTTAGTAAAATCCATAATAAATACTATTAAATAACCTACTTTACATGTGTTTAGCCTATTTCTTATTGACTGATTTATAGGTCAGATATGGGAAGATATCTGTGCAAAAATAAAAATATACTTTATATATTATGTATATTCATTGATGGCTGAACACAAATTCAGCAGCATATCTTAAATAAATTGAAAATAACCATGAGAGCTGTGGAAATACAATGCATTAAATACAGTGATATTGCAGCATGTTCCTTTATTGTTATTGTGTTTGTTGCAACTGTGTTGCAGCTCGTGAGCCACTGCAATCGTGTGATTGTTTAAGTTACCTGTCATTGCTGTATGTGATCTCTGGAGCTGCATGCCTGCTGGGGGTTCTGGTTTTTACTCTCGCTACCGCTTATTGTGTAAGTATCAAGTTTCAAGTTTGTTTTTAAATTCAATGGATAGGGGAGAGTGGGAAATGCTGTGCCACCCTGTTTAGGTTGTTCTTTAGGCAAAATGACCTAAAATAGAAATACTAATTATGGTCAACATGTGTGTTATTCACTGAAAATAGAAGAAAGTGCATATAACAATTGGTCCATAGATCTTTTTTCTTCCTCCTCAAAAAAGTGGTCCCTCCCTAGATTAGGGACCCCATCATAGGGGAATGTCAATTATTATAATAAAATGATTATATGAGAAAGAACAGATTTGAAAGTTTCATTGCAACTTTATTTTACAATATATTTAATTGTTATTGGTTCAACAAAAATTAAATAAATGAAAGCATACTAAAACTGTTGACAGCGATTTGCCAGCAAATATGTGGTTTAAAGGTGGTGTATTTCTGACCATATATGGTTTCCACCCCACTATATATTCAGTTTCAGTTAAACCCTCCTTCTACCGATTTCCTCTCGCATACAGTGTAAAAGGCCCAACCGTAGAAAGCCACAGCCTGTAGTTCCTGTTTATGAGGAGATGACTGGGGTGCGGCCAGACAAAAGAAAAGCCACAAGCTGTCAGACTGATATGGCAAAACTGGAAGAAGCAAACAGCTCTGTGGCCACTTTGTTCAGCAATGAAAACCTCTATGTTAATTGATTCAATGAAATGTAGTGAATAAGAAGTCACTCTATTAGAGTGTTGACGTTCATGCTTTAGCTGACCCACAAGACTTAACTGAATCAGCAGCTTTAAAAGGTGTTTGATAACATAAAATTGGTCATCTTTTCATCTTCCATCTATACCTTTGTTAAAGGTACTCTTAAGACATGTCATTTTATTGCAGAATCTCAGCCTGTATCCTTTTTATACATGAATAAATTGTTGTTTTTTTTAAGTACAAAATGTGTATTATATGAGTAAAAGTATTTTGTATTTCTTTAGTACACACTGTCAATATCTTTAATTGCCGTTTTTGTTTTTATCCCTTCTGTGGAACAGAATGGTAGTTTTCCACTGTCTGCATGTAAAAAAAAAAACTGTTGCAGGACCTGTTTATTAAAAGGTTGGGAAATTATGGAAAACGACAAGGGAAAAAATGCTGTTGATAAGACTCAATTTTTAAGACATTATGTGAAACATTAAAGCATGCAAATAAAGTTTAGATGAAGTGCCTCCACGGTTTCACACGCAGGCTTCCTGTCTTTTCTGTTTTCGTTCAAAAACAGTGAACCACAGATCGCAAACAGGTTATCTGACAGTTTGAGATAAAAGTGAGTGCAAAGTGTGACATTTGTTTGCTTTAAATATGAATGCTATACGTTTTATTCACATGGCAACAAACATTATCTCTCATGTACATATTTACAATTTACTTGTATCATGTTTAAAGAAAAAACTTAATAGTTTTCGGTCTCAAATAGAGTCTCAAGACGTGGGAATGTACATTTGACAATAAATAGAAATATAACAGCTATGTTTCGTAATGCATTCTTTCTTAAAAACTAAATACTGTTTCTATTGATTCTTCTGCAAATGGGAGATACTGTAGCTAGGGCAGACAGGACATGGGGGATGTACGTTTAGGGTCTGCTCATCGCGATCTGAGGAGGGCTCTGTACATGGCAAAGCCTAGAACAGCACAAACAGTGGCTCCAACACTCACTCGGAGCCAAAATGCAGAGCTCTTCAGGTCAGCATGGGTGATATCCCTAAAAAAAAGAGCAATCCGAAATGAAGAGGAAAAAGGTTAAATTAATGTTTAGTAGCTTGCATTTAGAACTTAATTTATACAAATTATACAGTTATGTGACTGCAACTTAAGATAAATACAAATAAAACATTTAGTAACATTCTGTAGGGAAAATCTAGTTGAGTTTAGTGAACATTTATGCCCGAAAAGTGACAAACCCAAGAATTCAAATAAACAGATATAAAAATATACAAACAGTGTTATTTAAAGGACATAATGAAAAGCTTGTCACTAAAATGTTACAAAACTCTGTCAAAGATGAAGAAAGATGACAAATTCAGATTCAAGAAATGGCAATGACAGATGGAGAACACAAACTTTAAGAAGAGGAAATAGAGAGGAAAATAGCAATAGAAGAATCACTGTGTTGAAACTTAAAACTGTGACAATGAGAAACTGAATTGCTGCATATCACAAGTTGCAAGTCTGGCGAGGATGACAAGATATTGAATTTAAGAAGCATGTAGCAACCCAAAATCCACACCCGTGGAATTCCTTACTACTTGTATATTGCATGGTTTGTTGTTTAATACAAGTTATTATAATCATTAGGTCTAATTACACACACACAAAAACTGAATATTATCATTAATACCACTAATCCTCTAAATGACATTTGTGTTTGTATGCAGGCATTAATGTTTGTATAAAGCATAAGGAGGTGGGCTTCCCCAGCATGAGAGTCCCCAGATTTTTGGTTCCAACCAAAGGATTTTTTTTCTTATCTACTTAATATTTTAGGGAATTTTTCCTTGTCATTTTGCTTGTTCATTGGGGGAAATTGTGAGACACTGTTCTTTGTAAATCTCCTTTGGAACTGTACGTTCTGAAAACTGCTACACAAATAAGCAGGACTGAATTGAAAAAGTATTCAAAAATGCTCGGTAGCTCTGAAAAGAGGTGACAGTCCACAGAAGGTCATAACTGTGTTGCCTAGGGCCTCTCCATTATACTATTGAGTTTTATGACTATATGGTATATTCAAAAGTTTATTAGCACATTATGCCAGGCCAAAACAAAAAGCTGAATAAAAGAAAATGAATGTGAATCAGCATGAGAGTAATGAAGGAAAAAGTCAATGAATAAAGATAAATGCAGAAGAGATAAGTAAAAAACAAAGAGGAAAAGCAATGAAGCATCCTGAGAACCTGATAAAGACGACAGTGTAGAGTTTGGTCCGAACCGTCTGCATAAGCTCAGAGTTCAGGAAGTTCTGACACAGACAGAAAGTGCACCTGTTACAGGTACACATGCAGCGTAGGCGCGCATGGCTGCCAACACACAAAAAAAGATACAGGCACATGCCAGAAATGAGGCATTTCGAAGAAACAAGATATAGTGTACTTTTGAATTAACAGTTAAAAGGGAAAAGTGAAAGGATTAAAATCACATTGTCAAGTTGAGTGTTCAAGTTTTTTTTTTTTTTAAACTACTAACAAGTGCAACATTCACTGTTGTTTTCTCTTTTGTTGTCTTACACAATGAAGGAAAAAATGATATCACATGCATGGGACTGACTCACTTCTGAGTAAACCACCTGACCATGTACTAATTTTATTGCTATCTGCATTTGGAAAAAAAAAATACCCTGAGAGATAAACAAGAGTGGTAAATTAACTCTTTCCACGCCAGCGTTTTTGAAAAAAGTTGCCAGCCAGCACCAGGATTTTTTTTATAATTTTCATAAAAGTTTTAATGGCCCCCAAAATATCTTCTTGTATGAATATCTGATCATGAAATATCTCAAAAGAAAGAACTGACTATCTGCTTTTAAACAACAACAAAATCCAAAAATATTTTAACCAACACTTAAATGTGGGCAAGTTTAATAAAAATAGCAACATTTTGAGCAACAAGCTGATAATATCGTGTTTTCGTCAAAGGCTACATCTAAATCGGATTCAGAACGATGATTAAATCATAGACGAAGTAGATCAAGTCCATCAACATCCCCAAATGTTTGCACAGTCCTATAGCTCGTCCTGTGTCGACATTTCATTCAGTAACATTTGATTTGTATGCTGTTTAATGTTGATGATGGCATTATTTTACATCTGCATCCACTTACATATGAATGATATCGCTTGTTTCTGCTTCTTTTTGATCAGGAGATTCAGTACTCTTTCAGAAGATGCCTAACAGCATCTCCCACCATATAACAGTGAAAACACTAAAAGCCAGAAAATTCCGTCAATGGCAGGGAAGCGCTGTCTCATAAATGACAGAAATTTCTGTCAATGATAACAGAGAGATAACAGAGAGAATTCAAAAATAGTAATTTATAGTAATAAGTTGTCTTAAAATATCCTAAAAGGAATTAACAAGCAGAGGCAACTCTACTGTGCTTCAAATGTGTTAAAATACCCTATAAATATTACAATTGTGGATAATGTAAACACACTTACGGGTACACGGCCATGGTGATGAGTTTGATGAAGATGTCTTTGCTGGGAGCCGCAGCTGTGTTACAGGTATAGGACTGAGGCGGAGGCATCTTGTGCTTGCGGCAGAATTCCAGTGGAGTCATGCAGTATTGCTGCTTTGTTTCTGGCAGGTCTGACTTTGCGGCAATCAGCATACATGGAGTCTTACTGTCCATGAAGTGTTGCTGGGAAATGAGGTAAAACTTCAATGAGGTGAATTTAGAACACATACATATAGGATGTTTAAATTACAGTCATAAAGGAACATTACCACAAATGTGAGCTTATTGGTCTCTCTATTCAACAGAGAGCATTGGTTATGCTTTTTCTTTAAATAGCAAAAAATGTACATCAAAGTGTAAAACAACAAAACTGTGACCCGTATAGCAAACCTTGAAGATTCGTGAGCAGTACTCAAAAGAGCAGGGGTTGCTGACATCATAGATCAGACACACAACGTCACATGAAAGTTCTATCTCAGACAGGACATCAAAATCTGGAAAGACTTCATGGAGCTAAAGGAAAAACATAGGAACTTAGAACAAAGTTTCAAAGATTCAGTTTACTTTTCGAGAAACTCATAAATAGTACAAATAATGATAAATGGTGGTCAATTCTCTGAACTCTTTAAAAGGCACAATATGTAAGATTTTTTCCGCGACGAGAGGGCGCAGTTTCCAACAAAAACAAAGGCGTAGGTTAATGACATAGTGATGAGCTGAATGATGGGACTTGCTGTCAAGCAGATAGATCTAATAATGTTTATGGATGCGTGCAAACATTCATGTTTTTTAACATTACAGTGGTATGAAGCAGGTCGCGATTGCTAAAGGGACAGATCACACGCGAGTTCCACGGATATAAAGGAATAAGGACATTTAATTCTACCCAACTACCCCCAAATGTGCTGGATTACTCATACAGGTCAGTTTATTAGAGGAATTAAACTTGTGAGGTAAGGCAGCGCTGCTTCACTTGGACTAACAATACGCTATCACACTAAACGGCATGTTTTATGTGCATTTGCTCACCTGTCTAATAAAGCTTTCAAGTCGTGATTCGTGAAGCTCTGTCAAGTCCAAGTTAGTCGCAGACAGGGAGCTCTTGGCATTTCAAAAACGCCACGCTGTTTGATCCTCATTTTAATTCTCCTTGTTTGTCCCAAAGTCGGCTTGCCATGGTCTATGTTTGAAAGAAACAAGAACTGCATGGCGCTAAACGTTACGCACTACACAGTTGTCCACGTCTGTCGCCATGGTTACGTCATGGCTATGGCAGTATAAACGGAAACTGAGGATAGCGCGGATATTAAGTCATTGACAGGCAAAGTTTTTGTCCGGGACGGCCAATTATTTAAAATTGGAATTTCTCTGAAATAGAAAAAATCTTTGGAGACTTTTGGGATATTGTACGTACACAACTGCAGGATGTGCATATATGACAATGTGCAAGTGATTTTTGAACATTTTGTTAAACAGTTCTTACATATTGTACCTTTAAATGGATTAAATGCATAATGTAAGTTCAAATGGTCTGAGGAACTGCAATAGAGCTGCTCTATTTCCTCTTCTGTCAAAACCCAGAACTCCTTATTCGCCTGTGGTTTCCTCAAGATTTTTACATGGGGTTTTATACTGGGGTTTTTCAATTCATGAGAAAAGGAAGGACTGTGGTAAAGATAACTTGATACTTGGACATTTTGCTCTACAGCATAAATTACACCAAATTTGTTGTGTGCTTCTCTTTACGCCTCCACGGACACTGAATCCAGCTTAACACGAGAAGCACAACAGTAGTTTACATGGTAGAGCAAAACATTCAAGAATCATCAAGTTACATTTTTCACAGACCTTATTTCCCATGGAACCAGTAGCGAATTAGTCTTCCAGGTTTTGACGTCATCGCTGCACCATTGTCTATACTTTTTGAAAATAGTGTTCAGAAACTGTAGTTCCACAAACTGAAAAAACAAAAACAAACAAACAAAAAAAACACTAATGTGTAAGATTTTGTAAGAAAAAAACGATTTACCAACAAGTACTTCTCCTGTCCGTACACATGTGCAGTGCTGATTGCATAATATGATTTATGCTCCTCTCGTATTGTCCTCTGATGCTGTGAGGAACAGACAGTAAATAAACAGCAATCATGACAATGTCACATCTGAACTACACAATGTCACATTTTTTAATGAATAAATTGCAAATGATACCATCAGAAATGAGCAAGTAAAATATTTCAAAATCAGGTTGCTGTTTTTCCTCTCATTTCTATACAGAGAAGCTCTGATGAAATCTAAAACTGTGCAACAGCTGAAGTATGAACAAATTACTTAATGTTTGTATTATGAACAAACAACATCCCTAATGCATTAGATTTAGCACATTTTAAACAACGTTGTTGTAAAGTGTTACCCACCAATATCAAGAAAAAATCCAGATAGGATACGTATTTGAGAGTAGGCTGTCTATATAGATTTTCAATCAAATGTGTTTTTTAAAAACATTTAAGTGTTTTTCTTGTAACTGACCACAAGGTTTCTGCCGAGGAAGCCCTGCAGGAAACCAGTTTTGCCACTTCCAGTTAGTCCAAACACATGACAGCGAAATACATTCCGTTGCGTCTGTTTCTTCTGAAGATCGAGCTTCTTATCACGGGTCACTAGCATGTGCAAAAATATTCAGTCAGCACCACAGCTGTCATACTAATCTTTTATGAATTTTAAAATAAAATACATTGATAAATGATGAATTTTACACAGTCATTGAACTGAACTGAATTAATACTGAACTGACTTTAGCTGGTATTTTTTAGAACTGTTTTATAGCAGAATTGAAATGTTTGCATCAATGACCATTATTTTCACTGTCAGGTCACCTTTATTTATTTAGCCCTTTATACAATACAGATTGTTTGAAAGCAGCTTTACAGTGATAAAGGGAAAATTATGCATTTCGGCTGATGTCAGTTCAATGTTGATTCAGTTCCTTTGTAAAGATAATTATCTATTACTGTTTTTCTCAATAGCTTTGGCACATTTTTCGAAACAGTCTTCACATTCTCTTAACTCTAAGCTCAATTGTAACAACTGTTTGCTGGGTCATCAGAACTAAATAACACTGGCAATGTCTGCAAAACATAGCAACTCAACCAAAACATTTAATTCATGCTTCAAAACCAAGTTGTGTTAGTCAATTGTCCAAGGGCACCAAAATAAAAATCGTTTGTGTCATTGTGTGAGTCACACTGGTCAAAATGTTTAGATGCTTTTTCACCATGGAAGTAGTATTTGTTAAATTTCAAGGGTTTTTTTCCTGCTTTTTTGTTGACTCAAACTGCTTTCTATACTGTACATGAATGTCAGTTTTTCTGTGTAAATACAGATTCAATAAAAGACAATACAGAAGGTAGAAATTGACTGGGAAAAGTCAACACTGTAGTACACAAAAATAATTAATTAAAGCTGCAGTTTCCAGCTTTTTTTGGGGTTAAAAATTATCCAGCTTTTTAATAATGTTTTTAATTCCAGTGGTACTGGTGGATTTCCGCGGGAGATATCGAGCATGTCTTTGCGTCATTACGTCACATCTGTGCACATAAAGGAGGAGTCTCGGCTATAGGCTGTATTGCGTGTGAGGTGGAGATTTATAGCCTTTTCTCACAGCACTTGATATAATTAAACTTATCAATTTGATCCAGAAATGTTCAAACGACAATCACAAGTGACAACTAGAGATTCATCCGCTATAAAATGCAAAAGACATCATTTGGACAGCAACCGGCCATGTGAAAACAAGGATACATATCGAAAGGGTATTACATCACACAATGCTGACATTGTAAATTCATTAACAATTTGAGAACAAAGTATAATTTGCACAGTTTTGGGTGATATGATAAGTGATTGTTAGATTTAATCAGCGCAATCTACTGCAATGTCAGAACCAGAACAAAAGTGGATACTAGTTCAGATGACATTTTCCAGGGAAAATTGTTATGTTAGTCATACTTTTAAAAAGAATAATCTGTGATTCTGCATGCCAGTATCGACACGGGCGCGGTGATTGACAGCCTCATAGTCTCCTCAAACATTGTGTTTATCCGCACTGTGTCATGTCGAAGTACAACTCACGTATATATATATATATATATATATATATATATATATATATATATATATATATATACAATATATCGCACGATATTGTTATGCGCATCTAATCAGTAAAGCCGGTTCCTTGATTAGTAGTACAAAGTAAATCACCTTCACCTGCTTTCAGATGGAGCGGCATTTACTACAAAGAGCCGTATTTCACTGACAAGCTGAGCCAAATCGCGTTAATATCGAGGACGTATCGCCAATGATATTTAATGCGATATGGCTCAGCTTGTCAGTTAATGGGCTTTATGCCCAGCTGCACTACTTCCTGAACTTCAGCCAGCTCCTTGTTTCCTGTCTGCCATTATTGGTCAAATTGATTAATTCAGGTGTGCTTGACCTCAGTAGTCATGGCAACAATAATCAGACACACCTGAATTAATCAATTTGGCCAATAATGGCAGACAGCAAACAAGGAGCTGGCTGAAGTTCAGGAAGTAGTGCAGCTGGGCATAAAGCCAATTACGGCTCTTCGTCACGACAAAATTTCCCGTGTTAAATTAACACACCTGGGAGTGTATATGTGTCCACACTCAAGAGTGTTAAAGTTAATGACATAATTATGTGATTAAATGAGTGATGATTGAGCATTATTGAAGACACCTAAAGCAGAATCACAAGGAGAAAATCTAAAATAGCCACTGTTATGGAGATGAGTGTTTGCTTTAGTTGGGGTCTTGACCCTTATATTATTAAAGGACAACTCCGGCGCTAAATGAACCTTAAGTCTAATTACACATTGTTACCTAGTCAACCGTTATCTGAGATTTGTTTTCATGATTGCCGAATGTAAATAGTTTTATCTCTAAAAACAGTTTAGCCTATAACGCTAGTATAATGCTAGTATATAGGGCATAGAGTAATGACAAATAAAAATCGCTTGTTATTACCACTAAAAAGGCTCAAAATAGCCCCACAGTAACACGACAGCATAACAAGGGTCCCTACATTCAAACCGAGGCATTGAGAACTTTGTCAGTGTCCATACAGTTTAATAAGCAGATATTTTATACACACAGTCAACTTCGCGAATACAGGAAGAAGCCATCTTGGAAAAATAGTCTCGACCAGTCGATCTACGAACGCCGATCCAAGTGCGCTGGTGAGATGTGAATAAGGTGATAAGGTGAGCGCGAACAGTAGGCTACGTGTACATATTGAAGGGAAGTAAACGGTTTCTGTTTGTGTTTCTTCTGGAAACAACGGATCATATGAGATTCTGCTCAGTTCAGCGCACTTGGAACGGCGCTCGTAGATCGACTGATAGGGACTATTTTTCAAAGATGGCTTCTTCCCGTAGTCGCGAAGTTGACTGTGTCTATAAAATATCTTCTTATTAAACTGTATGGACACTGACAAAGTTCTCAATGCTTCGGTTTGAATGTAGGGACCCTTGTTATGCTGTCGTGTTGGTGTGGGGCTATTTTGAGCCTTGTTAGTGGTAATAACAAGCGATTTTTATTTGTCATTACTCTATGCCCTATATACAAGCATTATACTAGCGTTATAGGCTAAACTGTTTTTAGAGATAAAACTATTTACATTCGGCAATCATGAAAACAAATCTTAGATAACGGTTGACTAGGTAACAATGTGTAATTAGACCAAAGGTTCATTTTGCGCCGGAGTTGTCCTTTAACTTTATATTTTACTTTGCTATTGCATCTGAGTTATACCTGCCAGATGAACAAAGATAAACAGTTATAAAATGATGTTGGTCATTTAATGACATTCATCATTTGAAATTTATGTTTGTGATTTATTCTGTTGGTTACAGCATAACTGAGATTCTGCATAAATATCCAGAATGTTAGATATAATATAATGGATTTCTCAAAAGTTGTTCTAAAAAAAAAAAAATCTTTATTTTAGGCACACACAGACCTCAAGATTCAGTCAATGCTTCTCAACAACGGTGACGAGCAGAATATTCAATTAGGAAAAGTAAATTACATAGACAATTCAGATCATAATTTATTCATACCGCAATGCATGATGGGAGCCATTTTTGAGTTGTGAATGGTGGCAACAAGGATTATTAATTTCACCACGGTTGAGATAGACAGGCTGATTATTGATCTCTGTGTTTATAAATAAAGATGATAGTGATTTGATCAGAATATTTTTTCTATTAAATATTTTAGGTTATAAGAAAAGTAAAGATATGCAGTAGAACCACAAAACTGTTGCTAACAAGTTAAGCCAATTCATCTGAAAAGTTTCATTTAACAGATCACAGCATGATTATGTCAAAACATAACCAACACTATCAGATCACAGTTTTCTTTGTACATTTGACTGTTATAAATCAATAACAGCAGAAAAACAAAGTTTAAAGTGAAAGTATAAGTGTCAAGAGCCCAACTAAAGCAAACACTGATCTCCATAACGGTGGCTTACAATTTGTGATTTCTCCTTCAGTGCTTGTGATCATCAGGTGTCTTCAATAATGCGCAATCATCACTAAATTAATCACTTAATTATCTCACTAACTTTAACACGCTTGAGTGTTAATTTAACACTCATATCGTCCATCTGAAAGCAGGTGAAGGTGATTTACTGCTAATCAAGGAACCGGCTTTACTGATTAGATGCGCATAACAATATCGTGCGATATATCGCCCAGGCCTACCGGGAATTACTGCAATTGCAGATTTCGAACAGAGATAGCGCCAAAGCGGAAAAATTGCGGAATGCGGCTTTAAGAAAAAATTCACATTTTTACAGTAGATTTATTTTTGCAGTAATGTGTTACATGTCAACTTTCTCAGTTGTCATTTTTACACACTTTATTATCTTTCTCTAACATAAAGTGCATATTCTTAGTTACATATCTTCCAATTGCTCTTCCATGACAAGAATTTTTAGTTTATATGTAAAGTTTACATTTCTAGAAAAAAAATAAGTATTTATACAATATTTATGTAGCTGCTGCTTTTCAGAGTTGCTGCTTTTTTGATGTTCCTCCATGTTAAAAAAGGGTGGTGATTGTGCCGTCAGCAAACTCCATACATATATGCATTATGTTTTCGAACTTGATTGGTTGGTTGATTGGTAAGATAGTGATTCCTATTTCTTTACAACGGCAGTTGCCAATTTAGCAAAACATTGCAAACATTGCAAACATTCCATGTCATAAATATTCATGGCATATAACATGTCTGACAGATTTTCATCACTGGATAAATCATTTTACATGTGATGGCTCACACGTTGAAAGACCGTTTAGAAGTTGTGTAGAATCAACTCATCAGTTTTTATCAACAAGCCATGTGCATTAAGTCATTGTTCAAATTGTAGACAATTATACTTACTCTTTTGCACACGTGCACATGCAATTTGCTCAAATCAATAAGAATGAATGTGAACAAGAAACTAACTGTTCAGAGATCTGAACCTATTGTTTCAAGAAAAAAAGTCTCATTTGAGAATTGTGCCAAAGCAATTGAGAAAAACTGTAAATTAGTTAATTCAATATATAAAGCAGTTTTTCAGAAAACAGTGATATCAACAGGGTGTGGTTTAATAACAGGCTACATCACAGATCAAGGATTTGACTTTTATGAAGTTTGTAACACTGATTCTGTTATTTTTCTGTATATATTGTAACAATGCTTTGAAACAGCTGTATTTTATATACAAAGCTGTACATAGGGATGGGAATCGAAAACCGGTTCCACTCGAGAACCGGTTCTAAATTTTACGATCCATCGATATTGTATGCCCTCGACGTTAATACTGGAGTAATGATGCTGAAAATTCAGCTTTGATCACAGGAATAAATTGCATTTTAAAAATATCAAAAATCTTACCGTTCTAATAATTTTGGCCAGAACTCTATATGCATATAATTATAGGTTATACTGTATATAGCAAATATGTCTTTTAACTTACCGGTTATGGCAGATGCCTGAGACTCCTGCTCAGCAATAATAGAGTAACCAAGGTAGCCAAGATATTCTAGGCATCGCTGAACATCCAGGTAAGTTGTTAAACTGCAAAAATGACATTGATAATTGATAAACTGATGACAGAAATGAAACAACAGGATAGCATTTCAATGATCAATTGATTCATTGTACTGTTCAAAAACACAATTACATTCACAACATTAAGGACACAAAGACACATGGTATGATACACACGTCCACTGAGAGAGATAGCCTTGATATGTGATCCAGCCCTGGTCATTAGTGCAGACCGTATTGTTCACATCCAGTCCCCAGGGGATGTAGGGGAAAACACTGAACAGATCCATAAGCTCCTCAGGGGACAAAGCACAGTCTCTGTCCTAAAACAGATAAAAACAAGCTTCAGTAAAAAAAAGATACAAATGATCATCCAGAAAATGGCAACTGAAACTCCTGTAATCTAGCACTACATTTGTGACAGACATGTTTATATAGACATTTTAAAAACATGGTATGTTGTTAATATTAATGAATATTTTAAAAGGATCAAATAGGACAAATTTAATATTATGATAAACTTTTTCTCAGGCAATGTCTGAGGAAGTCAAACACTTGTACCTTATCATGTTTGTCAAAGATGCTCTGTAGAAACAGGTAAGCATTGTGATTCAGCTCTGTGGTGCAGTCCGGTGGTATTTTTAACCTGTAGGAACGTAAACATGGAATCAGATGTTGATAGATGTAAGATTAGCATAGTTGGATTCAATTGGGATTGTCTCTAATGTTCAAAGCAGATTAAGAAAGTTCCAGATTAAGAGAGTTCAAGCTTGATTTTAAGTACTGTAAGGGAGCAGTTATATTATATTTGTACTATTTATCTATTTCTCAAAAAAAGATATTCTGTGCACTCACATGTGAGCATGTAATAAATTAATAATTCATTTATAAAGTTTTTTGTACTGAACAGTGGACAAAATTACAATATGTAACCAACACAACAACTAAGACCCAGTAAAAACATCTGTATTTCAAACCTGAGGAATATAAATCTACAGTATGTTCTAAACAACAGAACTGCTTCCAGCCATGACAAGAGAATGTGACTTGCAGAAAGAGTGACTAATGGGAAGTGGCATTTCTTACGGGGGAAACAGATAGTCCTGATGCAGCTCAAGATCGTCATCATATCCAAACCTCCGCAGTACCGTCCACGTGGTCTCATGCCTTCCTCTTTGGATAAAGAGAGTATGTAGGAAAAGGAAACCTGTGGGGGAAAAAAACAATCTGGATATTCCTTTTCAGGAATAAAAAAGTATGCAGTGTTAAGCTTCACAAATGCAGCCTTACCTTTGAGAGTGAGCCCATTGTCATGCACTCCATCCGTCAGGTTTTTACTTACAACATTTTTTACATCCTCTAGGGCTTGTGGGGCTAGTGGGGTGTTGAAACAGGTCATCTAAAATAAGAATCAGACAACAACATTGAATTTGTGACAAAATAAGGTTTTTTTTTGTAAAAGAGTTTGTAAATTAAATCCATATGACAATCAGATTTATTTGGATTTTTATTATAAACATTGATCAGCACACATACATAGAATACATCAAATATTCATCTTTGATATTTTTTCACCTTGTTCATATTTTCATTTTGTGTTTCATAGATTTAATATGATACGAAATAACAAGAGAGTGAGTCTTGAGTGTCTTTTTTAAGGTTAGGACCAACAAATAGTAGTTAAAGTGTATAAATATAAAAATATGTCCTTAGAAGAAAAAGAATTCTACATTCACAAATACGAAATATATTTGTTGAGAATTTACCCCCCAAAAAACTGGCATTTATAGGATTAGTCCACAAAAGCTTCCAGGCTTGCTACTATATGATACAATATGGATGCAGGAATTGTCTCCTATTCAGACACAAGGACATCAATTAAATCAGGATTTGATGTTGGCGATGGGACCAGTGTTCAAATTCTTCATGGATTTTTGAAAATGAATGTTCATGTAGTGTGGAATATAGCTCTAAGGGAATGAAAACATCCTGCAAAGATTTATATCTGAAAGTGTACTGTATATAAAGTTATTGGGCCCTATTTTAACGATCTGAAACGCAAATGTCAAAGCGTAACTTTGTGGGCAGGTCCCGGCGCTGTTGCTATTTTCCTGGCGGGATAAGTGCTTCTTGCGCCTGGCGCAAATCTAAAAGGGGTTGGTCTGAAGTAGCTTCATTATTCATAGGTGTGGTTTGGGCGTAACATGAAATAAACCAATCAGAGCGCCATGCAACATACCCTTTAAGAACAGGTGCGCATGTTGCATGACGGATTGTTATTATAACGGCGGGTTTACCAGGCGCCAGGAGCGTTCACAGTTGATGAGACCGACGTTCTTGTTAGTAAACAAGACCTTGTCAGGTCCTTTAGTACCCTACGAGTACAAATACCTTTAAAAAATGGGTAATTTGGTTTTTTCATCTTCATGTAAACCACAATGATTTCCCTCATGTGTTAATATTTTTCCTTGTTATAATGTATGATTAGCAAAAATAAAAACTGCTGCATCTGTGTTGATGAGAGAATCAAAGTGTATGCGCGTTATGCACCCGCTACATTATGGCCAAGCATGCGCGCTTAAAATAGCATTATGAACAACGCGCAACGCGCCACTGACTTTAGACCAGGTTTTTTCTGATCAGTGGCGCAATTGTTTTCTGGAAGTGTAAAATAGCACCAGGGAATGTTTGCGCCGGAACACGCCTCCTTTTTGCGCCAATCCGCCCAGGGAGCGCAAGTTCATTTCCTAGTTTACCGACGTGCGTCTTTTGAGGGAAAAATCCCGCTTTGCGCGTGTGCAAAATAGGAATGACACATGCGTTTGTGTATAAAGTCATTTGCACCGGGTGCAAGATAGAGCCCATTGTCTTTCAAAAGTGAGAGTCGACTCTGAGTCTATGAAATGAATTGTTTTTGAAACGAGTCATTAGCTGTTTCGTAGTGACGTAGATACAAAACATTAGCTCATTGGCAGCTCCCAACAACTGCGCGCACAGATGCAAGTGTAAACTTGAAGTCTAGAACACATTCAAATTTATGATTCAAATACTTCAGCTGAATAGCGTCATGTCGAGAAGACACTGTGTTCTACATTGCAAAGACAGTTCAGCCACTTGTTTTCATTGCCCAGGGACGACCATGTGAAGAATCAGTGGTTTAGAGTTCATATTTGCAATGATACCACAACAGTACAGCCTGAACCTTGTGTTCTCATTATTTTAACGACGAATCATTCAAAAACATAAATGTATCAAACGTGGATTCGCAAGCCGGTTGTTCCCAAAGGAGGTCTCAGTATCCAGTATATATGGATCAGGTTCGTCCTCCTCCGAATCACAATCTGTAAGTATTATTAATAATGTTTGCTGTTATGTTTTCTGTAGCATGCACAACATAGTTATATTTTGTTGTGTGTGTTGTGTAACGTTACGCTCCACGCAGCTTCTAAGCAGGGTAAAGTTAGTTTTGTTTTTGATATTCCCCAGATATTCACTGAAAAATGGCAATTACCTCCTAAACGACTTAGCCAAAAGTTATTTAAACCCCATTGCCGCTAAAAATGGAAGGCTAACAGGCTCTGTATATTCGCTCTATATAATAAGCACTGCCCCTCAAAAGCCGCCGCAATGTGAGTTTCGCCGGGAAAGTTCGCTCTTGACAGAGACGCGAGTAAGGGACCGTGTGGAAAGTGCACTTTTTCTGACACGTTTGTTCATACACTACAATTTTCAACACTTGACAAGCTATAATCCATTAATGGTGATGGGCGTTCCATTTCCGACAATCTCTGCCTACGGTGTACCAATAACAACTGACTGGGTCATTTGACCAACCGCAGCAGATTCGCGTCACTCAAAGGAGGTGTTTGGGAAAATGAATCGTCGAACGAATCATTTGGGAGTCGTTGAGCAAATCAGGTAAAATTAAATGCATATTATAAAACAAATAAAGTGTTTTTTTATCCTTGCATGCACGTTAAACTGTTTTTGGGAACAAAAATAGGAACATTTCAAATGCTATGATAGGAGCTCTTTAAAATTGTGAAAGTGGTTCAGATCTTGGCTTTCTGGAGGCCAGTTAAGCTCTTACCACACCAGAGTAAACTATTTATTTATGGACCTCACTTTGTGCACCAATGTTAGAAAAGGTTTCTCCCAAAACTGTTGTAACAAACAGGAAGCAAACAATTCTCTAAAACATCATGATATAACCCTGTTAAAGGGTTAGTTCACCCAAAAATGAAAATTAAGTCATTAATTACTCACCCCCATGCTGTACCAACCCCGTAAGACCTTCGTTCATCTTCGGAACACAAATAAAGATATTTTTGATTGAATCTGAGGGCTGGATCACTCTTCCATAGACAGCCTGAGGGACTGCCTCTTGACGGCCCAGAAAGTCATTAAAAAAAAAGGTTTAAATATTCCATGTGCCTACAGTGGCTCAACTATAACTTTATCAAGCGACGAGACTACTTTTTGTGCGAAAAAAAAAAAACGTAAATAACGACTTTATTCGACTTTCCATTACTTCCTTATGGGCGCATGCGCGAGAACTGAGACGAGACCGTTCTTCTTCGACTACTTTTTGTTACCGGCTGCTCACCGCTTAGGAGTTTTACCGCCCCCTACCGTATAAGATGACGTACTGATATAGCCGGAGGCGCAAAACGTTCTGTTTACAAGCACTACGTCATCTTATACGGTAGGGGGCGGTAAAACTCCTAAGCGGTGAGCAGCCGGTAACAAAAAGTAGTCGAAGAAGAACGGTCTCGTCTCAGTTCTCGCGCATGCGCCCATAAGGAAGTAATGGAAAGTCGAATAAAGTCGTTATTTACGTTTTTTTTCGCACAAAAAGTAGTCTCGTCGCTTGATAAAGTCATAGTTGAGCCACTGTAGGCACATGGAATATTTAAACCTTTTCTTTTAATGACTTTCTGGGCCGTCAAGAGGCAGTCCCTCAGGCTGTCTATGGAAGAGTGATCCAGCCCTCAGATTCAATCAAAAATATCTTTATTTGTGTTCCGAAGATGAACGAAGGTCTTACGGGGTTGGTACAGCATGGGGGTGAGTAATTAATGACTTAATTTTCATTTTTGAATGAACTAACCCTTTAATCAGAAGGGGATGGGCACATATTGTGTCGCGCACACTCAAAGGCCATGAATTTATGTTCATGCATCTGTTCATTAACAGCAAATATCTCACCTGAAAAAAGGTGAGCTCATGATCATTGAGGACACCATTGTTGTCCAAATCTGACACCTTAAAGATTCGTGTCAAAGCTCGAACACAGGCAGACCTCATCTGTGAACGAAAAAAACAAAGAAAACTTAAACTTCACATACATGAAGTACTGAATGGTTTAAGCAACTACATATTAAAATGTATTCATACACATGAACATTACACATTCATACACAAGAGGTGTGCAGACCTCTTTCTTCTCTGGACAGTAGAGTGGCCCTGTAGGGTGAAGAACAGCTTTCTGTGCATAGTAAAACAACTCTGAAATATTCTTCAGATTCTTGGCTGAACACTATAAAAAGAGGTGGAAAAGATGAAAATTAAACATTAAAACCCTGGTTTCACAGACAAGGCTTAGATTAAGCCAGGAGTAGGCCTTCAATTTAGTTAGATTTAAAATATTTAAAGGTATAGTTCACCCAAAACAATAATAAATTGTCAATTAAAACCAGGCAGTTGATGGTTGCCATTGATTTCCATAATATTTTTTTCAATGGATACCGTCAATTGTCTGGTTACCAATTTTCTTTAAAATATATATTTTTTCTGTTCAACAGAAGAAAGAAACTCATACAGATTTGAAACAACACAAGGGTAAGTGAATTAAGACAATTTTCATTTTTGGGTGAACTATCCCTTTAATTAGCTTTTATAAACACTCCTTAGAAAACTACTTTATGGGTGTGCATCTTGAAACAAAACAATGGCACAATATTTTAAGATATGCCAGTGCAAGATGCTTTCAGTTACGACAGCTTAAGCCTAGTCCAAGACTAAAATGAGTGTTTAAGCATTGTTTGTGAAACCAGGCATAAATGTTATACACAGTCAAAGAAATACAGGATTTTTTTTTTTTTTATCAGAGCGATTTAAACTTCCAGATTAGATTAAGTGCTTTGAAAATCCAACAACTAGAGACTTTAGTTTGATTAACAAAATTGCAGTATAAATTCCTACAGTGAAGCGTAAGGAAGTCACCTCGAAAACCAGACAAATAGCAACAGAGAATTTTCCAAAAAAGGTGAAATTGCCTATGCCACGTTAAACCCACAAAGTTCAAAAAACATAAATGAATACAGTTCAAATCTTTAGATCTCACTTGACGATAGACTATTTATGTACATCCTCCTTTTTATACCATCAATTACTTTCTTATACATCCCTGACTTTGCCTTGCAATTTACACTTTTTTTTTTCATGCCCTTGGAATTAATTGATTTTACTGGAATCCACAAAACATTCAGACAATAATCTGAATGCACACAACCTATTTGATAGTTATGGGTAGGATAATGCCAGGGACACACTTAACAAGTAGAAGAAACATTCTAAGACTTGAACTGAAAACACTTAAAGACTGTTTCCAACAACTGGAGCAGATTTTAAACACTGACTAAACGCAAATGTATCTGACTCGGCGTGTTTGGGCATGATGAGTCGTAAGTAACAAATTACATCCATCGGCCTCACAGTCAGTGAGTCCCTGCTTTAGGAGACATTCAGCTGCTCAGCACACAAATAAATATGAGTATGCATGGCTCAACATACCTCCACACAAGTCTCTATCTCTGTGTATTTGTTCATGATGGGAAGAACAGTCTCCATACTGCTGTGTTCAACCAGATCAGATTTATTCCCCACAAGGATCAGAGGAACCCTTAAAAACACACACACACACACACACACAGCTTCTGGCTATTTTTAGTATACCATAGACTGGGGGTGTTACTGTACACAGTACCAATAATTTCAAGTCAGCAACAAATGAAAATTCAGACTTACTATCTGTTTTCTAAATGCATGTTATAGATAATATTGTGAACAATTCATCCATGTATATGTTTAAATTATATATAAAAAATATGTTGAAATATCATAACAGGATCTTCCTGTAACGACTTGTTTCTGGTTACAAATACAGGGCTATTTAAAGTCACGCATTCACCTCCTTTTATTAGTGCACATTAAAATCCAATCAACAACTAATGCATAGAACCAAGTCCCCACTCTTCATTTTTTTTTAATAATAGTTTACTGCTACTAATCTGCTATTGTTTCCATGCCATTTGACGTTAAGCAATAAGGTAGGAGAGGCTGTGCAACCAAGAATATAAAGGGCAATTATTTTTTTTTAGCTACTGCCCATTTGAATGTAAAATAATTAGCAGTTACTCAAAGTTTGGCAAAATGTGGGCCTCATTCATAATACGGCTTTTTATTTAAAAAAAAAAATTATGTAATGTAATTTAGGTAATTTTTTTTTTTTTTAAGTATTAGTAAAACTGTTATGACATAAATTTTCAGATTCATTCATTGTTTGTATTTTCAAAATGTAAGCTGGCCTGGCACTAAAGAAACTGACCACATCAATTGTGTGTAAAGCATCAGAATGTTGTTCTCTAGCAAACTGACAATGTATTCTGATAACATCATTTACCGTAAAAATCTATAATAAAATAATTAGTTAACCAATTAGTTCAGTGTGAAAAATAAATTTCAATAATAAGCAAAAATGAATAAAAACTGCCACATAGTCAACTTTCCTTTTTATAATAGTTTACTAATCTGAGCACCAGTAGTGTTTACTGTAATGGCATATATCTTGGTCTCTTTTGTATTTATGCAATATTCTGGAGCCAAATGTGAGAAAGGAGTTCAGAAGATCATCCCATCTGAAGATAATACCAGCGGATACCTACCTGCTATCTTTGTCTGTTCTCTCATTTATCAGGGGAATCCAGTGACTTGTCACCTGTGACAATGACATTATTTTCAAAATCTGAAAGCGATAGAAAAACCTGTCCACACCAAGGATGATAATTATAATGATACTATAAAGATTTAATAATCATTTTAATTCTATCAGAATACACACCACAACTATAACAATAACAGCAGAGAGGAACAATATTGTTATAATCACTTTGACACTTTCAGAATGATTTTTTTTACCAGCTGATGAATGATAAAACATTGACAGCCAACCAGAATCCACTTTAAAGAACTTAAGCATTTAAAGTGACATGTAACTAGTTATGCTGCAGTTATGTTGTAATAAATAAGTTGGTGTGGATGCTAAAATAGTTCTACCTAATATAGCTAATATCTTCATAGGTATTGTTCTTGATGTGAACTGGTCTTTACTTGTACCATATAAGAGCAAATCAAATATAAAATTGTGTCAAATATGTAAATTGTAGTATCAGACAGATTTGGAAATCATGGATCAAATTACTGATTATTATTTTAATGAATGATCAAGTTATTCTGATTTACAGCATGAAGACTAGATTCTATGATCAAGTTCTCACCTTCTCAATAGACTTCTTGTTGTTCACAGAGTAGACTATACATATAACATTGGCCTAAAAAGGGACGGAAATATCATTTCTCTAAAAAAATATCACTGACAAAAAAATAAATAAATAAATAAATCGCTGAGTGTTGTGAATCCACATCTTACCTTTGATATCTCTTGATACAGTTGTTCATCTGTCTGTTCAGCTTCTGTGCATTTAAAAAAAACAACAACACTGTTATCTCCTCTCCATTCAATAATAATAATACAATTATTTACGAAAAATAAAAAATGTTAATTTTAGATCTTAAAAAGACAGAGGTTATTTACACTAATTGCACAGAGCAATAGAGGCTATTTACAGAAAATTTAAATAGCAAAATAAATGTATTTTTGTGTAAATATTAATAGTTTTAAATGTTATTTATGCATAGAATAAATAATGACAGAAACAGTGCAACTTAGTAACATTATGCATAAATTATCAACATCTTCTGTTTATATATTATATTTATAAAATAATATAATGGATGCTGCCTTATTGAAAACGTATTTGTCCCTGTCCCTGAAGTCGAGAAAATTCAGAAAATTCGAAATTCCTAAAGTAGCCTTTGCCACAAGATGGCAGTATCTGTACAGTGTCAATAGACACTCCAAAAGAAAGTCAGTAATGTTGTGCTTTTGCTATCATAAAAATCAATTAATCTATCAGTATCAGCCATTGAACTATAGTACATAATTAAATTGCTGGTTTAATACCTGAGTAGTCTACTATATGAGTGGGGACTCTCTCTGGTGTGACATCTGCTGGTATAGTGATTTCCTCAGCTTTATAAGGAACCTATTATGACAAAAACATTGATACTGACACCAAACACTGTTGACACTGTTGCAAATAATAAAGTCAGAAAAATAATTTTAACAGAGACTGTAATGGCAATAATAATACATACCACACCCGGGAACTCCTCACTGACCAATGACATGATCAGGGATGTCTTCCCCACTTTGGCTGTTTATACCCACAGACAAATAAAAGAGTGTTACCGATTTCCTCATCTCCACAAATAAACCCTGAAATCCTTAATGTAACCTAGACATGAGAATACCTCATGCAATTTTAATTAATATTTTAGTGGGAACTGGGGACGTCCTTTCATAATGTTACAGGCTACCAGGTCTATATTAAAGCTAGATGAAACCCTCTTATGGTCATAAATCTCATAAATAAGTTAACAGAGATCAGATAGGCAAATACATTTAAGTTTGGCAAGCTCCAATATTTACCAACCTTTTGCATTCCATAAAAACTGTCACAGCTAAACCTATCCTTCCTTTTTTGTAAACAGGTCTTCATGGACCACAACAGATATTGTCAATGTTATAGGAGTCAGAAGCCTTAAAGGGATAGTTCACCCAAAAAATGAAAATTAATTTACTCGCCCTTATGTTGTTCCAAACCTGTATGAGTTTCTGTTGAAGGTAGCCATTGACTTCCATAGGTAATACTAAGTCAATGGCTACCGTCAACTGTCTGGTTACCAAAACCATCATTCTTCAAAATATCTTCTTTTGTGTTTAACATAAGAAAGAAACTCATTCATGTCTGGAACAACATAAAGGGTGAGTAAATGATGACAGTATTTTTATGTTTGGGTGAACTATCCCTTTAAGTTATTTTTTTACACATTGTATTTTGCAAATGGTGACAACTTAGATGTCATTCTGTAAACCTTGTGCCTACCAAGAAAAGCTTCTGTAAACCCAATGAGCTGACTACCAATATAGTTTTTGTAAAAGATAGTGGACCGTCTGCTTAGACAAAAAATCTACGTAGACAGTATGGTAATGGTAAGTTAACACAGACTGAAACGGCCACGTAAAGATGCTCAAAAACGTTGACTAAATGCAGTAGGAAGTTCATTAACCATCTCATCTTGTTACATATTGTCATGCATAAATCTAACCAAACGTGTCATTGTGCGATCATGTTATTGTTATGAATGAAGCCATGCGCTGTCACTAAGAGCATGTTATAACAGCCCTGCAGTGACGGTACAGTAACCTGGTCATCAAACAAAACTGCGATTTCATGTTACAATGTTTCGTAACAAACAATGACATCCCAATAATAAGAGACTTACGTTCTCCAACCAGCAGAATCCTCACGTCTTTTCGCATATTTCCCACTTCTGAAGTCAAGTCGCATTTATCCGTTCATAATCGTCAGGATTTTACAGGCGTTCACAGCAATCCACATCTAACTTCACAATTAAATAAGCGTGGCATTATGTAAAACTCAAAACAAGTTTATTTTTAAAATTATGAGGCGATACGACGTTTCTAGGTGATATAAACGTCAGTATTGTTTTTTATGGATTAGATTCACTCAGCACACGCCCCCTTCTGACCTCCAACATGCCAACGGGTCTCACAAAGGGACAAATTATGCAAAAGTCAAAAGAAGACGCAAGATTCCTGTTTTAAAATATTAGTTGTTAGGGTTGTTAGTTGAAAATAAGTAACCATTTACCATAACCATCCACCGAGAACCTTTTGTGTCATTGAGATTACAGTATATTAAACAATTAACAGAACATTTACATTACATGTAATTATTTATTCATTAACCTTTTTCAAAAGCGTCAAAAAAAAGGCAAAAAGAGGCAAAAAAAAAAAAAAAATCTTACATTTGAGCCAACAGTATTATTACCCAACCAATATGACAAATAAAAAGAATAGAAATAACCAGCAAATCACCAAAATGGTGTTGAGTGGTTTTGATCTAGTGGTCAGAAGTGAGTGTGTATGTATGAAGAGTTCAGATGCAAAAGCCTCTAAGTGCCATTTGAAATTTTCTTCTTTAATGATGATTTTCATCAAGCTTGTATATTTAAGTTCAGTGATTTCACTTAAATGGCAATGGTAATTACTTATTAATTGTCATTTAAGTGAAATTACTGAACTTAAATATACAAGTTTGATAAAAACCATCATTAAAGAAGAAAATTTCAAATGGCATTTAGAGGCTTTTGCATCTGAACTCTTCGTATGTAGGTCAGGTATGTATCATGTCACCTTTAACACTTTATACAGATTGTTTCAAAGCAGCTTTACATTGATAAAGAGAAAATGATTCAATGATGAAAACAAAGTTAATTTCGACTGTACAGCAGCTCTAAAAGAAAATAGTGTCATTGTTCAACTGAAGTCAGTTCAGTGTTGATTGGATCATCATTTGTTAAATTAGTTCATTTTATCTATAAAGCAGTTCTGCAGAAAACAGTGATGTCATAGTCCAGCTAAGTTCAGTTCTCATCCAATAGTGTCAGTGCGGTCAAATCAGTAATATTGTTAAACATTAAATTTCCCCAACATTCATCCATGTATTTTATTATTATTATTATTAATCAGGGACGATTGAGAAAAATGAAGCTGGCTGAACAAGGCAAAAAAGAGAGCATTGTTTGGTCCTAGAATATTTATGGTTGTGTATAGCGGTGAAATACCAGAAACCAAATGAGATTACACAGGTATGTAATGAAAAAAGTTAAATACAATTCAAGATTCCATATATATATATATATATATATATAGGATACTCTATCAGCAAAATGGAATGTATAAGCTATTGTAAAGGAAATGTTAAAGCATTTTGACATTTCGACAACCCATAAAGCCAGAAGACAGGTCTGAGAGGGCCAGTGAAATTAATGTGGAAACTGTGTAATTCAAGCAGGCTATCATCCAGACTATGAAAACACAGCTGTCCTTTTGCCATGTCCAGAATAACTCTGATCCTGTTAAGGACACTATGCTTAACAGGGGTCTTTATATTATTGTGACAAGCACTTAGTTGCCTACAGCTCCACTCCAAACACCAAGAAGAGGAAGTTCTTCCCAAAATCTCATTACGCATCAGAGTGGGATACGCCACCCCAACAGCCCATCCAGAGCTGTGTGTGGTGTCCACATCCCAGTAAAACCACCCTCCTGTGAACTCCTGCATAGCCATCCACTGACAGGCATCAAAGCGCACGTGTGTAGTTCTAACTTGTTGTCCTGGTTGTGTTGCCATTGTACGGCTTTCTGTATGAAAAACCAGCCTTCGGTTTCCCAGGTGGGGAGGGAAGGAAAGCTCGACAAACTTTGGATGAAGAGCAGCTTGGAGGGAGGGAGATAAATTTAAGTGAGAACATGCCATCACCAACACACATTATTTAGTCAAACAAGCATGAAAATCACTGTTAGCATAAAAGACATTACCCTCAGCACCGTCGCTGTTATGATGCTGTGCTTCTGCACTGAGAGTTAGAGAATCTTCAGACAGATAGACTGGATCCTCTTCTACAAATTCCTGAGAACTCTCCTAAGAGAGATTAGGTGTTTGACAATCAGCCTCTTTCCACATCAAATTTAACAAGATCCCTAAATCACATGTACTTGCTGGGCTGGTGTAATTTGATGAAAATAATGGGTCTCATTCACATACGTGCACATATAATTCATCATGAATAATCTATACATTTGTACATTCACTACCATTTAAGATGGGCGAGTAAGACATTTTTGAAACAAGTCTCTTATGCTTAACCAGGCTGCATTTATTTGATAAAAAAATAAAGTAAAAACAGTTATATTACTGAAATAATATTACAATTTAAAATAAATGTTTTCTATTGTCATATATTTTAATATGTTTATATACTAATATATTTCAATAGTTTTTTCCCCCTGTCATGACAAAGCTACATATTGCTAGAAATGCTGTAAACTGAATTCTATCTGCTGCAAAATTGTCTGTGACTACTCTAATAAAACAGCATTTTTTTCAGTTTCAGTAACATAGGCTCTGTAGCATGCACAACGAGACTAACTATAAAGCAACATAGTCTTTATTCAAGATTCTTAACACTCTGGAGCAATAAGGGAGAACGTATGAAACTAGCAAACCACATAAATGTCAACGAACAATGAAAAGAGAACTCAATCTGAACTAAAACACACCGGTGTAAACTAAAAATAGATCTATCCAAAACGAATGTTTAATGGCAAACATGTTGAAAATTATAGCCACTTTTCTTTTCCTCCATTGACATCCATTAAAAAAAAAAAACAACTGCATCTGGTCTCCTTCCCTGCATACAGGGGTGTTACGCTTTTTTGCTAACTTTGGAGGCTTGCCTTAGAGCGGATTTGTCCAAAATCTCAAATATGTGTGTAAGATAAAAGAGACGTCAAAAATGTGCAGTATTGGGGGTGCATAAACTTTTTTTTTTTTTTTTGTATTTCAACTGGTTTTGAAAATTACATAGGCCTACTTGACTTTTCTCGAGATTTACTCAAAGATCAAAATGTCTATGATATCAAAATGTAGCTATTGCACCTGTAAGACTGGAAAAATTGGAAAAACTGATTGAGGAACTACCACTCTTCGAGTGGACAAAGCACCTTGCTGAAAATTAACATTTGAACTACCTTATTCCCCATGCAGGGATAACCCAAACTCACACAAGAATCTAGATGGTTTAAATGGTGAATGATTATCATTGAGTATTACACATATGTTTAGTATCATTTGAAATGTCTAATTTGAAAATGAGACATTTGTACCAGTCGCACTAAGTAAAACCAAAGGTAATAAGGTTTTTAAAGGAGAACTCCAGCGCAAAATGAACCTTTGGTCTAATTACACATTGGTACCTAGTCGACTGTTCTCTGATATTTTGTTTTCATGATAATCGAATGTAAAGAGTTTAATCTCTAAAAACTGTTTAGAGTATACGCTAGTATATGGGGGCATTTAATAAGTAAAAAGAAATCGCTAGTTTATACCATTAACAAGGCTCAAAATAGCCCCACACCAACACAGTAACATACTGAGGGTCCCTACATGCAAAACAAAGCATTGAGAACTTTGTAAGTGTACAGACCGTTTAATAAGAAGATATTTTATAAAGACAGTGCACTTCGTGTATACAGGCATCTTTGGAAAACAGTCTCGACAAGTCAAACCACGAACGTTCAGAACAAACAAAGTTCTCAATGCTTCTTTTTGCATGTATAGACCCTCATTATGTTACTGTGTTAATGTGGGGCTATTTTGAGCCTTGTTAGTGGTATTAGTTAGCGATTTCTCTTTACTTATTACTAGTGCAAAGTGCCCGTGCAAAATCAGTTTTTGTGTGTTTTTAGTAATTGTTGGTTTGGTGTGTTTGGGTCCTCATTGTTAGGGAGGAAATCTGCTTTTTTCGTCCCCCTGTCTCTGGTCCTGCGCTAATAATGGCCGTGTGCCCGTGTGTTTTAAGCAATTGTTAACTTGGTTTGTTGTGTTTGAGTGCTCAAATGAATAAGCGCGACGATTCAGGGAGGAAATCTGCTTTCTTCGTCCCTCTGTCTCTGGTCCTGTGCTGTGCTCACTCAGTTTGCAGCGTGAGAGGGGGAGTGGCCAGCGGCTAGAGTAGCAAAAGCCAATGTGTGCTTCTTTTCGCGATATATTTAGCGATATCTTTTGCATTTCTAATCCAAAGAACTTCAAACTCGGCACTGCACTTACTCGTGCCCGTAGCAAGACACTTGTGAAGTTTGAGATCCATCGGACTAACGGTTCAAGAGATATGCGATTAAAAGACAGACACACACACCAGTGTTGTAGTACTCGAGACTCGGACTCGTCTCGGACTCGGTCTCGAGACCATATTTTAATGGTCTTGGTCTTGTCATGGACTCGTGTCCATTTGGACTCGGAATTGACTCGTACTCGAACATTTTTTTTTTTAGGACTCGGAATTATTCCCGAGTCCACTCGAGTTCAATTAAAAATATTTTTCACGATAATAATTTTTCATGATAACAATAATAAAATATTTCTTTAAATTGATTGAAACGCCCAGTGATTGGTGATTTTCTAGTTGCGCAACTGTGCATGACAAATTTTAATAAAATTACTTTTAACACCACCTACTATGTGGCCTTTTTACCCTAAACTGATCATATTTTTTAAACTCTAAATAAATTCAGTAAAAAAAAAGGATTTCTCTAAATAAATAAAAGTAAATTAGGTAATCAACCCTCACTGGTCTCGGTCTCGACTCGGACTCGACCGTCTCTGGTCTCGGACTCGACTCGGACTCGACTCTCTATGGACTCGATCTTGACTCGGACTCGACTCTCTCTGGTCTCGGTGTCAACTCGGACTCGAGTGAGGTGGTCTCGACTACAACACTGACACACACACACAGACACACAGACAGACAGACGTTCCTGCAATTTATAGATAGATATGCCCCCATATACTAGTGTATACGCTAAACAGTTTTTAGAGATAAAACTCTTTACATTCTATAATCATAAAAACAAATCTCAGAGAAAGGTCGACTAGGTACCAATGTGTATTTAGACCAAAGGTTCATTTTGCACCGGAGTTCTCCTATAAGAGTTTAGAGATAACATACAAAGGAGGGTGTATGGGTAAACCCTCCTACTCTCAGAAGGTGTTAACTCAATGCTAATTCCCACTGTTAGCAAATGGTACCAAGTAAATCAACATCTGCCCCCAATAAGTCTGGGAAGTGATCACAGTATATTTCCACTGTGAACTGATGTTTATATGAGGTCTGGCTATAAAATGAAATGTAAATAGAGATCAGGGCCTTTTCTGTACTTCAGAGGAGCCCGTGAGGCTGAGTCCGCGAGACTTTCAGCTTCCTAATGTCGGGTTCGTCTTCTCTTTATTCCAGAACATTTGATGTTTTGTATTGATTATCTTGAAACTGATGATAAATTTACCTGACATAATAAATTGTTACGT